AGCATCCTCCCCTACCTTTCCCCTCCATCATGGCTCTTCTGTTCAAGGACACAAGGCAGTTTTCTTATTCCAATTGCTGTTCTGCTGTGTGACTGTGAAACTGTGGACATTGGTGTTTCTGAACTAACCTAGTTAGAGAGACACACTGGTGTAATTTTGTTGGTTATATTGTTGCTAATTGCTGTCTTATTATTTAATTTAAATGTGTAACAGTAGATATTCACACTGACAAAAATGATTTTTTTTTACTTTGTCATGTTTCTACACTGTAAAACATATCTGTTAATTAATAGTTTCCGTATTTTGTGATTCACAAGTGTTTATTTATGGTTGTGAATTGTATTATAGGATGTTGATCTGTGCTCTGGTGACTTATAATGTTGAAAATTCAACTGTACAGTTTAACAAAGTGACTTTTATTGACAATTTAGTGGATTGAAATAATGTAATCTATAAGAAATAATCAACGCAATCTCACTGCGATTTGTAACTTTTGATTTAGTGGCTAATTCATATGAATTCGTACAATCTAATTCGTACAATTTAGTACGATTTGCTCATCACCCAATGACGGTTGGGGTTAGGGGTGGGGTTGTGTGCCACGTCTCCTTTTTAAAATCGTACACTTTCATACGACTAAACTCATACGAATTTGTACGAATTAGCCACTAAACTAAATTCTTACGATCTACTTCGTACAATTTAGTACAATTTGATTATCACTCAATGACGGTTGGGGTTAGGGGTGGGGTTGTGTGCCATGTCTCCTTTTTAAAATCGTACACTTTCGTACGACTGAACTCATACGAATTTGTACGAATTAGCCACTAAACTAAATTCTTACGGTCTAATTCATACAATTTAGTACGATTTGCTTATCACTCAGTGATGGTTAAGGTTAGGGGTGGGGTTGTGTGCCACGTCTCCTTTTTAAAATCGAACACTTTCGTATGACTAAACTCATACGAATTTGTACGAATTAGCCACTAAACTGACAAAATGTAAAATACTAACGTTTCCTTGTGAGATCAGGCTGGAAATAATATGTATAATATAATAAGTCTATAAAATAACAGAAAATGCACTGGCAGTTTATTACAAGTTTTTTGTAGTGTATTGTATAACACAGGATCATTCTGAAAATGTAGTCCTGTGAACGTTTCTAGAGACTGTAAATTATGTAGCCAGAAGTACGTATGGCTGCATTTAATTCTTTAAGCGAATGCTACGGGGCGGTATGACGCCATTCCTTTTCGCACTTACCAGCTGACCATTTACCTCAGTGTGAAGAGCTTTCCCGCTGCAACCAGTTTGTCCCGTTAGCTCATCGTGTACGTCGGCAGACTTGAAACATAGAGAGGTGTTGACCATGACAACGACCGGGTTTGAGTCCAGGGAAGAGCGGTTCCAGAAATCCGATAAGACAAAAACAGAATCCAAAAAATAAAGTGAACATAAAATGTGGTAAAATCTAAAAACGTGGTGAAAATTAGATGAGGGTTTTTATTTTTTGAACTGCTTTTGTAAATTGTTGGTTGTGTTTAGGGAAGTAAGCGGGTGGCCGAGTCAATCGGTAAAATTGGTTGGGTTTAGGGAAGGAGGAGGAGTTCAAGGAGGAGTCAGTTCATTGTCCGGTCGCACAGGCAATCATTCAGTCCGTCAGACAGACGGTCTTTGAACAACGGCCTCTGGTGGGTGTATGCGAGAACAACGTGGATGCGAACTGCACTCGCGAGAGACATTTGAGATACGAAAAAGCGCACACAGTGGCCTCTCACAGATTCGCAAAAACAAAAACTGCAAAAATTGTATTTTTATTTCGCGGCCTCCAGAAACGTCCACGGGACTACGTTTTCAGAATGAGCCTGGGTTGGTATTATACAACACCAATCCAGAGAATATATCACTTTAAACTATTAGAAATGTCAATAAAAGTCACTTTTTTTTTACTTTTCAAGGTTAAAGTTTGTTGGACGAATGATTGAGCTCCCATAGTGCGTTTCAAAATCATAATAATAATAGTAAATAAAAACATAAATCACCAAAATGCAGGAAAACTGCTTAAACAAAGAAGAAATTTCTAGACAAGTAAAAAAATGTTGTTTTGATTTCAGAAATAATAAATAGAAATTAAGTGGATTTTCCTTAAAGTTGCTGTATGTAAGTTTCTGACTCTTCTAAAGCATAAAAATACCATAATATGTTTGCAGATTTTAAAGAAACATGTTAAGTGAGCATTCTTGTTTATCTGAAAAACAATGCTGAAGTCAGATATTCTGCTTTGAAAATGTGTGTTACGTGCTGGTTATGTACTTTTTTTTTTTTTTTGGTTCTTTTAACCTGCCCACTGCCAGTTTATCCAATTATAGTTCAGCACCCCAGGTTGTCTTAATGGAAAACAGCATATTTGATTCATTCAGTCATGAAGGCTCCCAATGTGTGCGTCCACAATCGAAAATACGACCTCCGGTGGAAAGTAGAGTTCCACATAAGGTTATTAATTAGCAAATAATATAAATATTACAAACGTAAACATTAGGTGAGCAGGTTACATTGTAACCCTGTGTCCTAAGAACACGCTATGTGACTAGATTTGCAGTGATAAGCAACATGACTGTTTGCACCAGTCGAAACTCGACAGAAATGTGTAAATACAGCCATTTAGAAGCACATAATATATGTGCACTCACTGCACTCCAGTGAAATGGTAAGGTTTATATTCCGATTAATACACATTAAACCACTTTAAAATTATTAAACGTACATGCTGAATCACTGATATGTTGGTGTCATCAATCTGGCAACCTGCGATTGAGTGTTTTGAACAAGGCATGCAATACCTAGTTCAACCACTGGGTGTCAAACTTACAAACTGTACCTTTTATTGTGAGAATTGGTACTTAAACTAAAGTGTTACTTAAAAACTGTGTGTACTAGTGTTTAGTTTATAACAATAATTATAACTATCTTGGATAGTTAATTTTAAAACTAACTCAGAGTTTACTTTGAAGAGTGTGTTGGCTTGCACTGAATCAGAGTTCTAAAGTTCAAGATCTCAGGTGGATTATCTGCTGCTACTTTCAGTAGTATAGCAATTTCATGTAAAATGGCATTCAGACTCACATTTTTAGCATTTAACACTGAATAAAGCACATGAGATGTACCTGAGGTGATCATTGTCAGTTTTCTGTTGATCAGCTGCAAGCCATTTCTAATATAGAAATTTCTGGTGTTGGTTAGAACAGAAACTCCTTTTAATATAGAAAATATTTCTTCTATCGCCTGCCGTTGCTTTTATTTAAAACACAGATTACATCAACCATTAAAGAGCCCATATTATACATGAAATAGGGTCATATCTTGGTTGTAAGGGTCTCCAACAACAGTTTAATATGCATGCAAGGTCAAAAAACACTTTCATGGTCTCATAATCTGCATTTATTTTTACCTAATTATTCCAGCGACTCCCGTATGAATCGTCCAGTGATTCATTTGTTCCCAAACCCCTCCTTAGCGCGAAGCTAATCTGCGCTGATTGGAGCAATGACAGCCTGTTGCGATTGGTCGACTGCCTTCAGTCAGAGAGTAAAATGCACAACAGCTAATCAGCAATATAAAAGTAATCACGCACACACACACTACTCCTCGTCCACGGAGCTCCGTAAACAAAAAAGCACGCGTCGCGTGACTTTGCACGCGATAAGAGAATATAGCCAGTTAACCTGATACAGTACACGCGGTTACAAGTAACAAATCACAACTAAATACATTTGCAAGCTAGACTCAACAAGGCAACAACTTTAATCGCTTGTACTCACACTTGAGAAATGGAGGAAGAAACCCATCCTGACGTCCATCAGTAAGTTACTCTTTACTGATCCTTCCTTTAACAAACGCTGATGAAGTATTCTTTGTAGCATGTAGTTTGCAGAAGTTTCCAGTAGTTTCCAACTGCTTGGTTGCTGAGGTTTCATCTTTGGGTAGAGGCTCGATAATATCCATCTGCAGTGTGACTTCAATCGACCGGCATGCTTGTGTGTGTGTGTTTGTTTGTGGGTGTGTGTGTGTGTGTGTGTGTGTCTGCGTTACTGCATCAGAGGGCGGGGCCTCAGGTTTGAAATCTCCCGGGTTTGCGCGTGCACGTGAATAACTTGGTTTCGTTCGTACGTCATGGCGAAACACCTAATGACTCGGTATCAAGGCGACTCGTTTGAAGCACTATGAGTCGACTCTTTTATAGATGAATCAACAGTTTTAAACACTGTACTCTTACAGATATAAGCCTTAGCTGGATACTTCACTTCACTTAGAGCTGTGTTACACACTACATTAAGGGGAATTTTCAAAAACCCATAATATGGGCTCTTTAAATAAGCCTTTAAACTCGATAGTCAGGTTTGCTCCTGTTGATGTCGTAAATCTGGCAACCTGCGCTTGCATGTGTTTTGAACCTGTAGTGCAATACCCAGTTCATCCACTGGGTGTTAAACTTACATACTGCACATTTAAAACAAGCTAAGTAATCTGCCATCCAAAAACAAGATTGTTTTGCTTTCGCTATTGGCAGATCACCCCTGTTTTAAAGAGGAAAAAATTCCTTATTTTTTACTTTTTGTTTCTGAAATCTTAATATTTCTTACTCGTCTAAAAAGGCTTTTTGATTTAAGAATCTTTAGATTTTTGGACTAGGAACAAGGCAAAAACTCTAAATAAGAATTTTTTTTTTTTTTGTGCAGTTTAATCTTGTACTTTAGTATTATTTTACAAATGATGTATGCTAATATGATATGCCTTACAAGCACAATTTGACTGTGTGTTTTTCAGATTGAGGTAAGTTTGGTTTGAGATTGTTTGGTATTTTCTCAGGAGGCGTATGGGGATGCGCAAAACTGATTTTATCAATGACAAGCTTGTGAATAATCAAAAGCATACTGTGTTATTCTACTGTTTTCTGTTTTGATGTCATTGTTTTTTGCTCAACGCTCTCCATATTTTCTCAGTGGTTAGAAGTGGTGATTATTACCTGTTTGAAACTGACAGTGAAGAGGAGGAGGAAGAGGAGGAGAAAAAAGACGAAGAGCCTCCCAAAAGATCAGCCTTTCAGGTGTGTGAAACCATGCAGTTCAGCTCATTCTGTATTCAGGTCATTGGTCCTCTGTGTGGAAAGGAAGTAACTTTTATTGTTACACAATAAGGCTTGACGTATATCTTTTTTCAACAGATTTAATAATTCTTTTATATAAGTTAATTTATTTTATCTTTGTCATGATGACAGTGCACAATATTTGACTAGATATTTTTCGAGATACTAGTATTCAGCTTAAAAGTGACATTTAAAGGCTTAACTAGGTTAATTAGGCAGGTCAGGATAATTTTGCAAGTCATTGGACAACGGTGGTTTGTTCTGTAGATAATCTAAACAAATATTGTATAAGGGGGCTAATACTATTGACCTTAAAACGGTGTTAAAAAATTAGAAACTGCTCTTATTCTAGCCAAAATAAAACGAAAAAGACTTTCTCCAGAAGAAAAAAAAATATTATAGGAAATACTTACGCTCTGTTAAACGTCATTTGGGAAATAAAAAAAATAAATAAATAAATAAATATATATATATATATATATATATATATATATATATATATATATATATATATACATATTACGCTCTGTTAAACGCCGTTTGGGAAATATAAATATATATATATATATATATATATATATATATATATATATATATATATATATATATATATATATATATATATATGTGAACAGTCAATTTTATGAAATAAAATGAGTTTTGTTAACCCAAAATTGACTGATATATATATCACACTCGTAGCAGTGCGATATGGCTGTATATCAGCACTGGTGGGAGGTGTGTGTTGCCTTAGTGTCCCACCAGTGCTGATATACAGCCATATCGCACTGCTATGAGCGTGATATTGCGTTTATACAACAGTTCAACAGCACATTCGTGTATATTAAAAAAAATCAAACACAGAGGGTCTGAAAACCCTTTTGTATTAGTAACTACTTTCTTCCGCCATACATCTGCAGCTGACATCAAAACAGCAGAAGCCGTTACTAATTCACCAACATTAATTTAGAGTTAGTGTTTGAATCATTCTTTAGTGTAATGTATAAAGTAATGACAAAACGGCTGATTTTGCACACACTTTAAGATTATAAGGCTGAACTTGACATAAAATGCCATCGGTCTACAGAGATATCTTCTTACAATCTATTAGTCTACAGTGTTTCTCTGTTGCAATCGGGATATCACAATAATTAACCCCGAAAAAAAGCAGCCCAATCACTACCAGACTGCTGTTGTGTTTGCGATAAGGAGGGGGTGTTCGAGGATGAGGTCTCTGATTAACACTGTTGACAACTTGGATAGGAAAGTAACTGTATTAAAATAGGCATTGTCCTTTTAAATAAACTTCATAGTTGCAATCTATACAAAAGAGAGAGAGAGAGATCGACTTAGAATATCACCAGTTTAATAATTTGATCAGATCTAGTTAAAAAACACGCAGTTTTAATCTTCTAAGCAAGGGCTTATAATGCGGTCCTGGCGCCACCTTGGGGATAGACAACTTCAACCATCTTTGGCTAACGGACACCGACGCTCTCAGAAATTGTAAATATTTTGAAATAGGCACTATTCTTATAAATAAACTGCATAGTTGCAATCTAAACAGCTATATTCTCCTCTAAAAAAGCCCCAAAAGTACATCATGTTGCCCAACCGCAATAATATTTGTAAAACTGTGGAGCGTCCTCTGCTTGTATGTAGGCGTAGTAATACACAAAGGTGAAGAGGCCTTTGTGTGCTGTTACTGGCAAAATATCTCACGGCTATCAGCCAGATTTAAGATTTAAGAACCAGTCAGAACTGGTGTATAAATAAATAAATATGTGCACATCATATTCATAACCTATTTTTAGCTCAATTATTTGAGTGTGCTTAATAGATTAAGTGTATAATGTAAAATAAACATCCTGGTTGTCTTAAATTGACTTTTAATTGTTAAATTACTTTTAAATTGTCTTTAAAGTTGAATCAAATTAGCCTTATGACTCCATTGAACTTATATTATGTTAAACTGACTTAAAACAGCCTGTATAACTTATAAGACTAAGTTAGAACATGATTTACTTAGTTTATTAAGTTACAATGATTTAAAACATGACTAATTGATCAGATAATGTGTTTACAGTGTAAACTATTGAACATAATGTTTTTCCTATCTAGTTATTACCTAGTCAGATGCAAAAAGTACTTATACATCATGTTTAAATTAGTAATAGTGTACAGTTCCTACCCTAATATGCATTTACATTACATTTACAGTCATTTAGCAGACACTTTTGTCCAAAGTGACTTACAATTAAGCAGGAATTCAGCGATTCAACACAGTATGCATGTTTAATAAAGTTGCTTCAGTTCAGTAAGTGTTCATCCTATTTTTAATTTGTGAATTTTATAATAATCAGACAAAAATTCCACCGTCAGCGTCTTTTGCAGCAGTCAGTGTGTATTTAGTATGAATGGTGTTGAATTGTGTAGTGTTGGGCTTCAGGACACTGATGCTGTGACTTTCTCCTGGTTTTTTCTCCTCTCAGCGAGCGATCAGAAAGTTTGCTTCAGCCCTTGTTGCTTTACCCAGATCAGTCATTAAACTGCCCAAAACTATTCTGCAGTATTTAATAAGGGCAGCCAAGGTACATATACCACCGCGGGAATCCTGCCGCCTGTGTTTGCTGATGGTGTTTCATTGTGAGATTTCCATCCCGTGTTGTTCCTGTTGCGTTACGTATTTGTCAAAATATAAAAAAGTAGTGAACTGTTACTGCAAGGATGCATGGAATGGAAATCACTCCGAGGTGTTGTTGAGTGTGAAAATTGTGTGTTTGTTTCATGTGGTTTTTTTTGGGAAGCTATACTTTTGTTTTTGTTGATTTTTTTAAATGAGTTGCTAGTGTATAATGTGATTTTGCTCCACAACATTTCAACAAACTAAAAAATTTTAAAATACATAACATTTTAAACCGAGCAATCATGGGTCAAAGACGAGCGTCTGATATTGATCGTTTATATCAGGGAGAATTTGAAGTTATTTAATGTATATTAACATGAAAAATATAGTTCAATGTTTTGAATGTAGAATTAATACATGAATAAATGATCATATTAAGTGTTATTTTATGTTATATGATTAAAAGACTCTTGCAATAATTACACCCGGTGCAATAAGGCGCAAGACGTGTTTGGCGCGATTTGTTGTTACTTTTAGACCACCGCAGCTGTTATTTTCACGTTTTGCGCCATGTTGTTAAAATAGCAAATCCATTCGCGCCACTTTGTGGACTCATGAGTGTTCTTGTCTATAAAGGAGGTGTGTCACGGTGCGTTGTTGGTATATTGTTTAGATAAAACAAAAAAAATTAACGCAACAGTTTGCATTAATATATTGAAGTTACGACAACATCTAACAAAATTAAGTTCAGACAACAAACTTTATTATGTTAGCCAAATCTTTTCCTCTTCAATCAGAGGCACTTTATGAACTAAAAACCTCAAATTTTTAAGTTGAGTACTCAAAAAAATAAGTTGTTTATTTATTTTTTTAATTCAAATTGAAAACAAATCCAGTTGTTACTGTTCCTGCTTGAAAGAAATAAATTTAACAACAACATTTTTTTGTTTTTGGTTAGTTTTTTATTTGTATTAAACTACAGGTTTTCATTGTTTTACAAAACAAAATCATGTAAATCATGTACTGTCCCATATTATCAGTGTAAAAAAAATAACAACAAAAAACATCAGTATGTGGACTTAAAAATACAAAACAACTCCATTATTGTGAGTTATCAACCCAATTTCTTTAGGTTGCTAAAAGTTAAATATTGTTTTAAAGTAACTGACGGATATATTTACCTTTTAAATTAGCTGCATTTTAAAATTGATGTAATTTTCAATATCTTACTGTTTTGAAAACTTGATCAAATTATTCTTAAAAGTTTTAATCTTATCAGCATTTTAGAATTTTTAAGTTAAAATAATGTATTAAACTATGTAGTGGTAACAGACCTTGTGAGTTATTTTTTAGAGTGTAAAAGCTGCTCTAAAGTCCAGCGCAGAGCTTGTTAGTTATGAGCCTATGCTGGTCCAAATGCTTACACATTGCTTAATACATGCAGGATGCACAGCAACACACAAATATCTTTACAGATGAAAACAATTAAAGAATTTCAATATTTTAAAAATTATTACTTTCTACATAAATATAAAAACTACTTCCTCCATGCCTTCTTTATCTCAGGGAGCTTTTTTAGTTCATTCATAACAATTTGCTTTTGTATAATGTTATTATTATTATTAGCAGTATTACTTATTATCTACAATTTTATATTAGTTTTAATAAAAAGAAGTTTAGATTTGTCCACCTGTCAGGTTTTGAAGACATCTGCATCGCCATTGGGTGCATAAGAACAGGACGTGTGTTTGGATATAACTCACTTCGTTTTTATGGTTCATTTATTCATTTGCTGGAAATTAGAACTGAATTGAGAAATAGTTTTGCGCTTAACAAACAAAATTGTAAGCTGATGGATGTCCTCAGTGGAGTGAGTTTCCACCGATCCTTTCTCCACAAAAGTAAAGGCGTAAAGAATAAAAGTAAAGTAAAAGAGGCTGAATGGAGGAGGCTCGTTCTTTATCCTTACACTGCAGATGCTCTGTTTAACTGTTTTCTTACTAGTGAAGCATTCAGTTTTTCCACTTATAAAGTCTGCCATGTAAATAGCAAATGGCGTGAGGCAACTGACCCTTAAAAAGAATGGAAGATGAGACTCAGGGTGCTCAAAACACACCCAACACTCATTACGAGAATAAGCACAACCCTGTTAGACCATGCACCGGGGCGCAAACCGTATTTATTCATCCTTAAAATAGCAAATGTCCTTAATGCTTTTGCGCCACTTGCTTTAGACTTTTGCGCTAAGATCGTTAACATTGAACCCATAATATTTTGGAAGGGTAGTTGCTACACTGCAAAAGCTCTTTTTTGCATTTCTTTTCTTTTTGTTTTGTTTTTGGTCTAAATATCTAACAATTCTTAAATCAAGGAGCACAACTTATTGTCTTGTTTTAAGAAATATTATGCCAACATTAGAAATAAGAAATAATATTCCAATGGGATAAACAAATAATCTTGTTTTTTCAGCAAAAATAATCTTATTTTTGTAAAAAAAAAAAAAAATTGTGAAAAAAAGCGGAGTAAGATATAAAAATGTATTTAAAATTAATTTAAAAATATTATAAAATATAAAAAAATACATTTCAAAAACTACCTTTAATAAGTATTTTGGGTTCAAATTTTGGGTTCAAACTGTGATTAAATAATTTATAATCATTTTTAAATAAGTCTTTCCTTATGTCAGCAAGTGATTCTTCTGCTAAACATCCGTGCAAGACATGCTAGTGTGTGTCTTTAGTCAAAATGTATGATCCTCAATATGAAAAAAATGCATCATTTATAATAATCATTTTAATGCTTAACAACCCATTTTCTTCTTTAAATCGGCTCATCATTATATTAGTGGAGCAAAACACAATTATGCAAACACAATTTTCCCTTTTCTTGTGTAACCTGGATTCAAACAACTTAATTAATCCATTAAAAACTGAATATGCAGAACAGTAGGCCAAATATTGGCAAGTCTAAAATGCAAATAATAGGGAAAAATTGGGAAAAAAATCGAACAGTAAACAGTTGTTTGTATTCAGTTCGGGTATTTTGTGGTGGATGTGCTTGTTCCTCAACTTCAGCCTTTTCAGAGGATGAAACACATTTGTGTATTAAATAAAAAAATGTTTATATCAAATGAAAATTGCATTGTCTTTTTGCAAATTTTAATCACTAATTAAATTGTAACTTCTCTAAAATGGCTGAAAATGCAACGTATTTGTGTTTCAATGTTTTTGTGCAACTCCATATTCTAACAGTATGTTGATCATTGCATTCATTATTGACGTTTTTGTGTAGTTTGTGTATCATACCTGGATCGCCGAATCTAAAGCAGCTCTGAAAGAAAGAGGAAAAGGCAAGCGCTTCTGGAAGCGATACGGTCGCCGGCTTAAAAAAGAGAAGAAAGAAGGTACTTCAGTGTTTAATGTCTGCAAACTGAACTGGAGGAATGTAAACATGAGTGTAAAGTTGATCAATAACTTATTGTGTGTAGAACATGTGGCGATAGAGATCGGTGAAGACGAGCGTCAGAGTTCAGAAGAGGAGAAGACAGATGGACCAGGTGTGTTTATGACATCTGTTCATTGCGGGAACATTTTCCATTCATTATCAGTAAAACTGAATGACTTGCAGCACGTCGTAATTTACAGTGAACTTAATCCATTATTGATGATGCAAAAAGCTTAAATGTGATGGGAAACATTTGATTTTGATATTCATTCAATCATTTTCCTTTGTAATATATCAATGGTCACCACAGCGTAATGAACCGCCAACTATTCCAGGATACGTTTCACGCAGCGGACGCTGTTCCAGCTGCAACCCAGTACTGGAAAGCACCCATTCACTCTCACATACACATTCATACAATACGGCCATTATAGTTTGTTCAATTCACCTGTAGCGCATGCAGGTCCAGATTGGCTAATCGGGAAGACCAATTAGCCAATCTAATCTTCGTATTATCTTCATGCTTGAGTGTCCACAGGGGCAGACTGGGACTAAAAATCTACCCTGGCACTGTAGCCACACCAGCCCACATTACCACACCGGCACAACACGCACATTCACTACTTATATTGGTGTACAGATGGTGAAGTAATATTTAGCAGTACCATATCATATGTAATAGATATTTAAATATTTAATGTATGTGACTGGAACAAAAACAACCCATTTATAACAAATTTATACATACAGGCATTTCATTCATTCTGTCTGGGATTGCCACAGCGGAATGAACCGCCAACTTATCCAGCATATGTTTTATGCATCGAATGCCCTCTAAGCTGCAACCCATCACTGGGAAACCACAATACACACACATGCACATACATGCACTATGGACAATTAGGCCTGCCCAACTCACCTATAGCAGATGTGTTTGGACTTGTGGGGGAAACCGGGAAGAAACCCATGAGAACATGCAAACTTCACACAAAAACACCAACTGACCCAGCCGAGACTCGAACCATCGACCTTCTTGCTGTGAGGCGACTGTGCTACCCACTGCACAGCCCCCTTTCGAGACTATTTCAGTTAGTTTTATGCATTTGGTAGTGTCTGATATTAGAGTAACTTTTTGCTTTCTCTGAGCTTTTCGGAACCGCATTTCCTTTTTTATGGTCCATCTCTGAAAATTAGCTTGTGTTACACTTACTGTTTATTTGACATTATTGACAGATTTTGATTACGTCCGCGTAACCTCTGATTGGGTCGGCCCATCTTGAAACCATTTGACCATTGCTGATTGGGCCAATGCTTAACATTTATTATTATTATTATTATTATTATTATTATTACTATTATTATTATTATTATTATTATTATTATTATTATTATTATTATTATCATCATCATCATAATATTCACATCTTGCAAGAGATAAAAGCTGCCTGCATGTAAAAACAACACATATTAAAAAACTAATAAAAAAAAAACAGCATACTGGTCCATATTTAAAAAATGGTCCGGCCCTTCTGGCATTTGCCAGAATTGCCAGATTGCCAGTCTGCCCCTGAGTGTCCACATACATGGACAGCACATTTAAGCTCTTAAGTGGCTATTTAAAATACGTTGAATGTTTTATATTTTGTTACAGACACACAGTGTCATCCTGCAACTGTTTTGCAGCATATTAAATGTCCCAAACCCTATTTTTAACTGTCCAAAATGAAAAGAAAAATTTGTTTTTATTCTCTGATAGTCAAAGCAAGTAAAAAATAAAAAATCTACAGTATGTTAAATATGCATAAAAAAATCGTGAAAAAGTTTTTTATGTAAATTCAGACCACAAGTCCACATATGTGGACATCATTTTTCTCTTAAAGTACATCATATCAAAAGATGATACTTAGATTTTTATTATTTTTTATTTAATTATAAGTCCAAATAGCAAAGAGAAATAAAAAATGCATGTAAAAAAACACCTTGGGCCTGAAGAGGTTAAGGAGATGGCGGGGAAAATAGAATTTAATGCAGTACTTCTTGTACATTCTAAGACCCACTTCATATCGTAAATCAATCAGCCAGTGAAAATCACCGATTTTTAAAGAAAACAGACCTTAGATGCGGCGATTTTGCAACGGCACACAGTTCACCGGAATCGCTTGTACTGGGTTACTGAAAATTAAAAGTCCTTCCTGTTAGTGTTATTATTCAAAAATGTTTCATTAAAGTTTTTGTAATCTAATAGAAGGTTTATTGTACACTGAAAAAAAATATTGAAAGATGATTCCTTGGATTTACTAATTTAGTAAGGCAAGTGATTGTAAACGATTTATTTCGGCTAAATTTAAACAAACAAATTTAAGTGAATGAAATAAAGTTTACGGCCCTTTGGCCGCCGGGAAGAATGAGGCGGAGAACCGATGTAGTTTTAAAATATTTATTTATAACATGAACGGCAGCTCCTCACGGAGACTGCCATCAAACTGAAAGCAAAAGTAAAACAATATGTCCGGGCCCGGTCCTCTCTCGGCTTCATCTGCCATCATTCCTCCACTTATAGTCCAGAGCTACTACCGTGGGATTCGAGGACGGTGCGCACCACAGGTGCATCCACTTATGCGGCGGACTCATTCCGTTCCCACGGTTCTCGGCCACGCCCCCTCGCCACAGTGAACAATACTACATTTAATTTGTTGGTTTAAATTCAACCCATATAAATTGTTTGCACCAATTTTGCAAATGTTTTCCAAGCTGTTTTTTTCAGTGTATTTTGGATTCAAACATACCCTCAACTCTAGATTTACACTAGTTCATATAATGTTCATATAATATACAAAGCTGAAATGTACTTCTTTTTCACTCCCTGCAGACAACATCATCAAGAGGGTGTTCAACATCATCAAGTTCACCTGGGCTCTGTTTCTGACCACCGTGGAGAGCATCACCAAATGGCTGAACTCAGTCTGCAGAGAATATATCGACATCTCCACCGTCCTGCGCATCGAGCGCTGCATGCTGACCCGAGAAGTCAAAAAGGTTCTCCGAAAACTATTCTATGCTTGTACAGTTGGAGTCAGAATTATTAACCCTCCTGAATTATTAGCCCCCCTGTATTCTGTCTGTTCAACAGAAAGAAGATTTTTCTAAACATAATAGTTTTAATAACTCATTTCTAATAACTGATTTATTTTATCTTTGACATAATGACAGATAACATAAGATGACATAAGATTTGACTAGATATTTTTCAAGATACTAGTATTCAGCTTAGTGACATTTAAAGGCTGACTAGGTTAATTAGGCAAGTTAGGGTAATTAGGCGAGTCATTGTATAACAGTGGTTTGTCCTGTAGACCCGTGGTCCTCAAACTTTTTTCATCAAGTACCACCTCAGAAAAAAAAGATCTCTCCAAGTACCACCATAATGAACAGTAAAAAAATACAGTAGCAAAGTAATACCAGTGAAGCAGCTAAAGCTCTGAACTGTTCAAAATGCATCAGATTAATTCCTTTTATTAAGAATATTTATTATTGTCAGCCACTTTAAACATTTTAAATAATCTGAACGTTAACACTGTACTGTGCTTATATGTAAAAACAAACAAACAAACAAACAAAATGTCAACATTGAAATTAAAATGTGCTTTTAAAAGTTAAAAATGCTAGGTTACTGTTCTTAAAAAGTAAAAAAAAAAAAAAGCTCCTGTACTTTAATGAAAAGTATTAACATATAGTAGTCAATTCATCAACTCAGAAATATAGGCTATATGTCATATAATACATATTATTATACGTCATATTTATATATAAATCATTTTTGATTCATTTTAAAATGTATTTACAATGCCATATTTGATTCCTCCGCGTACCACTTGAAGGAAGCATGTGTACCACTAGTGGTACATGTATCACAGTTTGAGAACCACTGCTGTAGATTATCAAAACAAATGTTGCTTAAGGGGTTTAATAATATTGACTTTAAAATGGTTTTTAAAAAATTCTATTCTAGCCGAAATAAAACACATCAGATTTTCTCCAGAAGAAAAAATATTATAGGAAATACTGTGGAAAAAAGCCTCGCTCTGTTAAACATCATTTGGGAAATATTTGAAAAAGAAAATTGAAAGGAGGGCGAATAATTCTGACTTTAACTCTATATACGCTGTAAAAAATACAGGGTTCCCAATGCATTCATCTGGGGTCCCAACACAAATCGATTAAGTTAACTATTAATGATTAAGTGGATTAAACCTGAAACCTGTAAAAAAAAAAATAAATTCTGGGTTTCATGTTGTCCCAATGGGCGAAGCAGTGGCGCAGTAGGTAATGCTGTCTCCTCAATGCTAGAAGGTCGCTGGTTCGAGCCTTGGCTCAGTTTTCGTTTCTGTGTGCAGTTTGCATGTTTTGCCCAAATTTACTGACATTTAAATTGTAATGTTTGTTTCCTTTATTGATTAATCTGATGACCGATTACAACACTGATGTGAATCTGGATCGTGCATCAGTAAATAATCGCACTTAAACAGTTTAGGTACATACAGTATGAAATCAAAAAGAATCATAGTGATTTTGTTAGCTCACATCTGTGCATGTCATTAAAGATTACAAGGGCAAACTATTTTTCTTCATTTAAATCTGAAAATGCACTTTCTTTGTGTTATCAGTTCGATTACATCAGTGTGAGGTATTTGGCGTAACATACTTAAAGCCCCTTCAGCTGTCCGTTGGAGGAGTCTGTTAGGTATTAATAGCTCTCCCCAAACCCTTTTCCAGATCTTTCTGAATGAAATGCCTACAGTACATTGCTACATCCAATCAGCTCACAGTATAAATAACAAGCCACGCCCACTGTTTTCTTATTTAATGTTTAGTTTCTCTAGGAACTCCGTCACAATGCAGAAAAAAACTACAAAACTCAAAGTACACATGTGGCAAAACACCCAAACTAATCTAAGAAAACATCAATCTAAAATAAAACAAACCGGATAAGTCTGTCAAAGCTTAGTTTAGAATCACACAACAACCATCACATTATGTTACTTAAAGCCAACGAAGTTTAACAAGCAAACTGTAATTACCACAGATAATAAAACACTGAATAGACGAAGCAGTGCACAAACAAATTGCGTGGAGCACAAATGGTATGCCGAGGCAGAGCGCACACCACACACGGGTCTGTCAGGGCTTTAAATCCTTGCGGCTCGTTCTGAGATTGGTGGAACTGAAAATGTCATAATGATGATTTACAGAATATTAAACTAATAAGGAACCTAAGGGCTGAGCAAACGAAAAGGAGGGTGAAAAAAAGACAGAAAGAAAACATAAATCATAACAAGAGGCCTTTACGATTAATTAATTATGATGAATTAAAACACATTTAATAGTGAAATCAGCTAATTGTTGCATGCCTATTAATGATTACATTGCATTGTACAAAAGGCACATATTCAAGTGTTTTCGGCTGTCCGCACCATTCGCTAATGGTGACTCGCGCTCTGCACAGCCTCTGAAGCTCATACTGAATTGAACAGATGCACGTCACTTCATAGCTATAGTATAGCTAAACTAAACTAAACTAGGAACTCCGTGACAATGCAGAAAAGAAATGGTCGCAGCTTTCAGTTCATGTGGACTTTAAAATCTATTTTTACCTTTGGTAAAACGTAAAATGTTTTTACTGACGGAATCTGAAAACACATTGAATTATCCCTGCTGATCTAAGTCTTTATTCGATTCTCCATGTTGTCTGTCCTACAGGGGAATGTGCCGTCCCGTGAGAGCATCCATGTGTACTACCAGAAGCAGATGAAGCTGAATGGATCTCGTGAATCTGGTCTGGACCGCATCAGTGAGGAGGATTCAGCCTCAAACAGAGAACGCCGCAGACGCGCACAACACAGTCTGGATTCATTCGCTTCCAGAGACAGCATCTCCAGGTCTTCATTTGCACTAAACGCACATAAATAAATACAAAATCACAACATTTCAACCCAGAGTCAATAACATTGTAACATTTTACTTTCAATTAAGGCGAGACACAGTAGTTGAACCAGGTCAAAAACTATATAATTGTTATCACCATACTAATGCCAAAAAAACACCAACTCGAGTATGTTTTCAAAAGCTTTTAAAAGTCTTTGCTCTGTAAAAAGAAAAGGACCAAGGACAGAGCCTTGCGGTACTCCATCAGATTTAAAACACACTGAAAAGTTTACACCTGCTCATTGTGAAACCGTACCCCTGTATACATCTCTGGAAGCGCGAATAATGTAGCCAAAGCTACGTATGGCTGCATTTCACCTTTCAAATGAACGATACAGGGTGGTATGGCACCGCCTATGGCTTCTGTTTTTTTCCGCGCAACCAGCTGGGCGCTTACCTTTATGTGAACGGCTTTTCCACTGTTACCAGTTTGCCCAGTAGCTCACCATATACGTTGGCAGATTTAAGACACAGTTGACTGCAACAATGGGGTTTGAATCCGGTGAAGAATAGTTCCAGAAAGCAGGTCAAACAAAAGGCAAAAAATAAAATAAACATGTAAATAACAGGGTGAGAACGTGGTATTATCTGAAAACGTAGTAAATATTAGGCAGCCGTGACGGCTTTTATTTTTCTGGATTGTTTTTGAAAACCCTGTCGACTAAGGTTTTTAGGGAAGGGGGTGATTGGATCAATACCAATATCAATAAGTAAAACCAGGCCCGGATTGGCTAATCGAGAGGACCGGGAGAATTCCCGGTGGGCCGGTCTGTTTTTTGCCCGCGAGGGCCGATGTCCCTAGCTGCTTGCACTCTCAGCAATCGCACTTTTTTTCATTTATTTATTTATTTGACCATAGTCTCACTCTTTTTATTCATTATTTTGCTGCAGCTCTGCACTTTTTTTTTTCTCACGACCCCTTGAGCAAAATGCAGCCTGCAGTTTAATGATGACGTAACTATCATTCGCCCCCAAACAGTGGCACCTTAGTGAATATAAGAATTCGAATAATTAATATTAATAAATATTATACCTGCTCAATGAAAATCAGATGATTCACTACATTAATAAATCGGACATAACTTGATCAGAAATCTAAAAAGGGGAGAAAACGATTAAGCCGTCAATAGACAGTAATGCTGGTCAAGTCTTGCAGATGGCAGCGCAATATTTATTTTTTATTCCAAACGCCATTGGAATTTTTTACAACAGCGCCATTGTGGTCCAGTGGTCAGCATGTTGCATTACGACAATACAGAACCCGAGTTCGATCCTTACCCATCTAATTTTTTTTTTTCACTTTTATTGTTAAGACATATAATACTGTTAGGGTTGTTGAACATTTCAAGTTCTAAAGCAGCTGTTTTCTTGAAAAAGACGTGATCGTGTCATTAGAAACTGAATTGGAAATTATGTTATTTTAATATAGTCAGTCGTGAAAAAGACGTGATCGTGTCATTAGAAACTGAATTGGAAATTACGTTATTTTAATATAGTCAGTCGTGAAAAAGACGTGATCGTGTCATTAGAAACTGAATTGGAAATTACCTTATTTTTATATAGTCAGTCGTGAAAAAGACGTGATCGTGTCATTAGAAACTGAATTGGAAATTACGTTATTTTAATATAGTCAGTCGTGAAAAAGACGTGATCGTGTCATTAGAAACTGAATTGGAAATTACCTTATTTTTATATAGTCAGTCGTGAAAAAGACGTGATCGTGTCATTAGAAACTGAATTGGAAATTACATTATTTTAATATAGTCAGTCATGAAAAAGACGTGATCGTGTCATTAGAAACTGAATTGGAAATTACGTTATTTTAATATAGTCAGTCATGAAAAAGACGTGATCGTGTCATTAGAAACTGAATTGGAAATTACGTTATTTTAATATAGTCAGTCATGAAAAAGACGTGATCGTGTCATTAGAAACTGAATTGGAAATTACGTTATTTTAATATAGTCAGTCATGAAAAAGACGTGATCGTGTCATTAGAAACTGAATTGGAAATTACGTTATTTTAATATAGTCAGTCGTGAAAAAGACGTGATCGTGTCATTAGAAACTGAATTGGAAATTACGTTATTTTAATATAGTCAGTCATGAAAAAGACGTGATCGTGTCATTAGAAACTGAATTGGAAATTACGTTATTTTAATATAGTCAGTCGTGAAAAAGAAGTGATCGTGTCATTAGAAACTGAATTGGAAATTACGTTATTTTAATATAGTCAGTCGTGAAAAAGACGTGATCGTGTCATTAGAAACTGAATTGGAAATTACGTTATTTTAATATAGTCAGTCGTGAAAAAGACGTGATCGTGTCATTAGAAACTGAATTGGAAATTACGTTATTTTAATATAGTCAGTCGTGAAAAAGACGTGATCGTGTCATTAGAAACTGAATTGGAAATTACGTTATTTTAATATAGTCAGTCGTGAAAAAGACGTGATCATGTCATTAGAAACTGAATTGGAAATTACGTTATTTTGATATAGTCAGTCGTGAAAAAGACGTGATCGTGTCATCAGAAACTGAATTGGAAATTACGTTATTTTGATATAGTCAGTCGTGAAAAAGACGTGATCGTGTCATCAGAAACTGAATTGGAAATTACGTTATTTTGATATAGTCAGTCGTGAAAAAGACGTGATCGTGTCATCAGAAACTGAATTGGAAATTATGTTATTTTAATATAGTCAGTCGTGAAAAAGACGTGATCGTGTCATCAGAAACTGAATTGGAAATTACGTTATTTTAATATAGTCAGTCATGAAAAAGACGTGATCGTGTCATTAGAAACTGAATTGGAAATTACGTTATTTTAATATAGTCAGTCGTGAAAAAGAAGTGATCGTGTCATTAGAAACTGAATTGGAAATTACATTATTTTAATATAGTCAGTCATGAAAAAGACGTGATCGTGTCATTAGAAACTGAATTGGAAATTACGTTATTTTAATATAGTCAGTCGTGAAAAAGACGTGATCGTGTCATTAGAAACTGAATTGGAAATTACCTTATTTTAATATAGTCAGTCGTGAAAAAGACGTGATCGTGTCATTAGAAACTGAATTGGAAATTACGTTATTTTAATATAGTCAGTCGTGAAAAAGACGTGATCGTGTCATTAGAAACTGAATTGGAAATTACGTTATTTTAATATAGTCAGTCGTGAAAAAGACGGGATCGTGTCATTAGAAACTGAATTGGAAATTACGTTATTTTAATATAGTCAGTCGTGAAAAAGACGTGATCGTGTCATTAGAAACTGAATTGGAAATTACATTATTTTAATATAGTCAGTCGTGAAAAAGAAGTGATCGTGTCATAAGAAACTGAATTGGAAATTACGTTATTTTAATATAGTCAGTCATGAAAAAGACGTGATCGTGTCATTAGAAACTGAATTGGAAATTACCTTATTTTAATATAGTCAGTCGTGAAAAAGACGTGATCGTGTCATTAGAAACTGAATTGGAAATTACGTTATTTTAATATAGTCAGTCATGAAAAAGACGTGATCGTGTCATTAGAAACTGAATTGGAAATTATGTTATTTTGATATAGTCAGTCATGAAAAAGACGTGATCGTGTCATTAGAAACTGAATTGGAAATTATGTTATTTTAATATAGTCAGTCATGAAAAAGACGTGATCGTGTCATTAGAAACTGAATTGGAAATTATGTTATTTTAATATAGTCAGTCGTAAAAAAGACGTGATCGTGTCATCAGAAACTGAATTGGAAATTACGTTATTTTAATATAGTCAGTCGTGAAAAAGACGTGATCGTGTCATTAGAAACTGAATTGGAAATTACGTTATTTTAATATAGTCAGTCATGAAAAAGACGTGATCGTGTCATTAGAAACTGAATTGGAAATTACGTTATTTTAATATAGTCAGTCATGAAAAAGACGTGATCGTGTCATTAAAAACTGAATTGGAAATTACGTTATTTTAATATAGTCAGTCGTAAAAAAGATGTGATCGTGTCATTAGAAACTGAATTGGAAATTACCTTATTTTAATATAGTCAGTCATGAAAAAGACGTGATCGTGTCATTAGAAACTGAATTGGAATTTACGTTATTTTAATATAGTCAGTCGTGAAAAAGACGTGATCGTGTCATTAGAAACTGAATTGGAAATTACGTTATTTTAATATAGTCAGTCGTAAAAAAGACGTGATCGTGTCATTAGAAACTGAATTGGAAATTACGTTATTTTAATATAGTCAGTCGTGAAAAAGACGTGATCGTGTCATTAGAAACTGAATTGGAAATTACGTTATTTTAATATAGTCAGTCGTGAAAAAGACGTGATCGTGTCATTAGAAACTGAGTTGGAAATTACGTTATTTTAATATAGTCAGTCGTGAAAAAGACGTGATCGTGTCATTAGAAACTGAATTGGAAATTACGTTATTTTAATATAGTCAGTCGTGAAAAAGACGTGATCGTGTCATTAGAAACTGAATTGGAAATTACGTTATTTTAATATAGTCAGTCGTGAACTGAGGTGGGCTGGTCTAAGGCTTAAAAATCCAGGGCTGAAAAGGAGTGCCACTCCGGCCTTAAGTAAAACGTATGCTGAAAAATTTGGCAGTTCATTTCACTGTGGCGACCCTTGAAATAGAGACTAAGCCGAAGGAAAATGAATGAATGAACATTCTAGACCAATATGGCATAAATATTGCTGCAAATTTTGAGAAAAGATACAAATATTTTCTGTAAAATATCCCCCTGCCCAAAGATGTAACCCTGATAGGTGTATGAAAATCTTTTTTTTTTTTTACCTGCAGTGTCTTGCCTTTTAGAACAATTAAATTTTTTTGTGGAAACACATCTGAGAACATCTCATTTACTTACAATATGTAACTCTTATTCCTTAAAAGAGGAAATCTAGACTCTGACTTATGCAGGTCCAAATGCTTACACATTTCTTAATACACACAGGATGTACAGCGTGTGTAGGACGTGTGTTTGGATGTAACTCAAGCTTTTTTGAGCACACTTCGTTATTATTGTACATTTATTCTTTTCCTGGAAATTAGAACTGAATAGAAATTGTTTTGAAACAAATCTCTGCGCTTAACAAACAAAATTAAATATGTAGGCTAATCGATTAGTGGAGTGAGTTTCCACCCTTTCCTTACTCCACCAAAGTAAAGGAGTAAAAGTAAAGAATAAAAGTAAGGTAAAGAGAAAGATGCTGAATGAAGGAGGCTCATTTTTTATCCTTGTGCTGCAGATGGTCTGTTTAACTGTTTTCTTGCTACTGATGCGTTTAGTTTTTCCTCTTACAAAGTCCACCATGTAAATAGCAAATGAGCCATGGCGTGACACAAATGACTCTAAAAGGGAATGGGAGATGAGATTCTGATTTGTTCAATGCACGTTGTGCTCAAAACACATCCATAACTCATTAAGAGAATAAGCACAACCCTGTTAGACCATGGGCTGGAGCACAGAGCGTATTTTTCCATCCTTAAATAGCAAAAGTGGATTCAGACACACACTTAATGCTTTTTCGACTAGATCATTAAAACAGAGCCCTTAGTTATCGAAACTTAAAAAAACAGTTTTTCCTTATTGTTTATTACTATTGTCATCTTTTTCGTTGCATTGTATTTGCATTCATGCCATCTGTTCATCCATCAGCGCATACACCGAAGCCACCATGCTGTTTTCCCGCCAGTCCACCTTGGACGATTTGGACGACATGCCTCAGAATATTCCCAAAACCAGCGAACGCGCTCGACCCAAACTGCGCAAAATGTACGGCCTCGACATGTCCAACTCCTCTGCGGACAGCGGAAGCAGCGTCATCTCCAGGTGCTACATCTTCATCACATTCATCTTCATCCTCACACTCATCATCAGTTTTTAAAATGTAAACACATTTGCCATGATGAACTGAAAACCTGGAAGAAAATGCAAAATAAAAAAGTGTGTGTGTGAATGTGAGAGTGTATGGGTGTTTCCCAATACTGGGTTGCGGCTGGAAGGGCATCCTCGGCCTAAAACAATCTGGAATAGTTGGCGGTTCATTCTGCTGTGGCAACCCCTGATAAATAAGGGACTAATCCAAAGGGAAATGGCTGAATGAATAATTGAACGTTATATGTTTTTACCCATAATAATATTTTTATAACAATAATTTATTAATAATAATTGTATTATTTTTTATTAAAACTAAACTATTTTATTAAACATTTTATCAAACATAAAAATATCCCTAATAACCAAATTGTTGTTGTTGTTTTACTTCCATTTACAGTTGAAGTAGGAATTATGGGCCCCCTTTGAATTTATTTTTTCTTTTTTAAATGTTTTCCAATTAATGTTTAACAGAGCAAGGACATTTTCACAGTATGTCTGATAATATTTTTTCTTCTGGAGAAAGTCTTATTTGTTTTATTTCAGCTAGAATAAAAACGGTTTTTAATTTTTTAAAAGCCATTTTAAGGTCAAAATTATTAGCCCCTTTAAGCTATATTTTTTTCAGAACAAACCGTCGTTATACAATAACTTGCCTAATTACCCTAACCTGCATAGTTAACCTAATTAACCTAGTTAAACCTTTGTAGTTAAGCCTAATGTCACTTTAAGCTGTATAGAAGTATCTTGAAAAATATTTGGGAAAATATTATTTACTGTCATCATGGCAAAGATAAAAGAAATCCATTATTAGAAATGAGTTACTAAAAGTAATATGTTTAGAAAGGTGTTAAAAAAATCTTTGCTCCGTTAAACAGAAACTGGGGGAAAAAATAAACAGAGGAACTAATAATTCAGGGGGGCTCATAATTCTGACTTCAGCTGTATGCATAAATAGGTTTCCATTGTAGTTTATGCGCATAATTTACTTACTAGTAAAAAAGTTATTAAAGCATTTTTATGCAGTACTCTAAAGTAGCTGAAATATGGAGTCAATCTAGGGCCATTTATACTTGCAAAATAAAATAAAGTTTTGCAAACAAAAAATAAAGTATTAAGCGAAAATAAATAATTAAATAAACAAATAAATAAAAGCAAATCTCCAAAGAATGCAAATTAAAAATTTATTTTTGAGAAATAAAAAAAATTTTTGCTAACAAAAAAGAAAAAAGAACTACAAAAAAATAAATAAATAAAAATCAAGAAAAACAATATATTTGCAAAACATTTGTATAGCATTACCTTTATAAAAACCCGTCCAGTCAATTGCAATGCTCATTTTGATTAGCTTTTTAGTCAACCGTGAGTTTGCAGTGCTGTTTTGCAAGTTTTTTGCGCTTTTCACTTTGTGGCCCTGATTTGACAAGGGGCGGAGTCAAGGGAACTTGGGGGTTTACAGCCCTGTAGGTATGGTAGTAGGTTATTAAAAAGCAAATTAAAATGAATATTGCAATTGACTGGTCGGGTTTTGTTAAAGCAATGCTATACAAAAGGTTTTGCAAACATATATCGTTTTTTTATTATTATTTTTTTTATTAATATTGCAGATATTTTTGTTTTGTTTTTTACTCTGTGTGGTTTTTATTTTTTGTTTTGCAGTTCTTTTTGTTTGGAAATTTCATTTTTATTTCTCAAAACTTAATTTTCCCTTTGCAATGCTTGGAGATTTGTATTTATATATATATATAGTTGAAGTCAGAATTATTAGCCCCCCTGACTTATTAGCCCCCCTGTTTATTTTTTTTCTCCAATTTCTGTTAAATGGAGGGAAGATTTATTTTATCTTTGTCATAATGACAGTAAATAATATTTTACTTGATATTTTTCAAGACATTTCTATACAGCTTAAAGTGACATTTAAAGGCTTAACTAGGTTAAAAAGGTGAACTAGCCAGGATTAGGGTAATTAGGCAAGTTATTGTATAACGATGGTTTGTTTTGTAGACTATCGAAAAAAAAATTGCTTAAAGGGGCTAATAATTTTGTCCCAAAATTAGTTTTTAAAAAATTAAAAACTGCTTTTATTCTAGCTGAAATAAAACAAATAAGACTTTCTCCAGAAGAAAAAATATTATCAGACATACTGTGAAAATTTCCTTGCTCTGGTAAACATAATTTGTGAAATATTAGAAAGAAAAATCAAAAATCAAAAGGGGGCTAATAATTCTGACTTCAACTGTATATATGTATATATATATATATATATATATATATATATATATATATATATATATATATATATATATATTTTTTTTTTTTTTTTTTTTTGCTTAGTACTTTATTTTTTTTGTTTGCAAGACTTTATTTTAAGTATATATGGCTCGAGATTGACTCCATATGACAACAAACATAGCTACTGACTGGAATAATGGTGTTGTTTTTTTATGTGCTCATGTTTGCAGTGAGGCTACTCAGTGCGTCACGCTGTTTTCTCGGCAAGGAACCAACGACACTATCGACGAGGCTGAAGACGAGCGAGAACAGCTGGAGCACAAGCAGAAAACAGAAGAAGCAGAACTCAGAGACAAACCTGAAGAAGAGCAGGAAGTGGAAATAAGCGATCAGGGGAAACAGGAAGTGTTACCGGTGAGCCATCTGGTGACACAGGAAGTGAAAGAGGATGTACTACCTGTGAGCGATCAGCTGACTGGGGAAGTGACTGAGGAAGTTGAAGAGGAGGTGGAAGTAGTTAAGGAAATGGAAGAGGAAGTAGAAAAGGAAATTGGAGCAAAGGTGGAAAAGGAAGTAGAAGCGGAAAAGGAAGAGGAAGCGGAAAAGGAAGTGGGTGAGGAAGTGCAATGGGACTTGGTGGATCCAGAGGAAGCAGAGGAGTGTGTAAGTGATGGGGACGGTGGTGAGCAGATGCAGCAGGATGAAGGTGAATGGTCGGGAGTGGAGAACGTGGTGAGCGGTCCGCTGTTCACACCAGACACTGACGCCCCCAACACGTCTGACGCTGACGTGCCGCCCAGCTACAGTAAAGCCGTGAGCTTCGACCGGCTGTCTGTGAGCTCGGACGACAGTGACAGCGACAAACGGCTGATGCTAATGACGCCTGACAGCAAATCTGACCTGGACGACCCTCTGCTGCCCTCCATGACCACCGACATGACCGCCAGCGAACTGCTGCTCAACAAGTGGGTGATCTCATATAGGTTTTTGTCTTGATTTCAGTTTTGGCTTACTCAGAGCGTATCATAGTGGTATTTTCACTTGTATCTTAGTATCTATACAGTATATGAGAGCAGTATCACACGAGTAGCAGTGTGATATGGCTGTATCTCGGCACTGGTGGGAGGCGTGCATTGGCTTGAGGCTGCAGGCCGAGTGTCTTAAGGGCGAATTATACTCGCGCCTGGCGCCGCATCGCACACCTCCGCTGACTGTGTGCGCACCTCGCAAAACGGCCGAGGCTTTTATACTCGCCGCGTTCGTCGTTGTTTTATTTTTTAAAATAACATGGGGCGGTCAAAAGAAACATACCCTAAAATCAGACGGATAAACAGAGAAGTAGAAAGTTTCCGGAAGTACGTCATATCATAATGTCGTTCATTATTTTTAAACTAATTATTTTTTATTCTTTTTATATATTATTTTAATGATTTTAAGCATTTTTATAGCCATTCAAGATTTTTTAAATATCTAACTTCGATGCATCACTTGCTTTTGTTCATATCTCGGACAGTTTTACCATTTAAAGTTTATTACAAAATTAATCACAAGAGAACATGAGTTGCTCTACAAATATATATTTAATAATAGCAAGAATAAAAGCAAAAAAAGTACACTTTATAAAAAATAATGATGTTTTTTTTACATTAAGTCTGATCCACAAATATATACATCAGTGTAAAACCTATACTGGTGGAAAAGCATATTCAGTAATTGTGTACCTCTCCACTTTTGTCATGGCCTCAGGTTTTTCCAAACTTTTAAACATAAACTTTCCTCCTTTCTCACTGCTGTTGCTATTTCTAGCAAATAGTTATTGGTCATCCCTTGCTTTTGTTCATATCTCATATAGCTATTATACCTATTACAATTTATTACAATATTAATGTCAACAGAATATGAGTTGCTCTACAAATAAACGTTTTATTATCGCAAAAATAAAAGCAAAAAAAGCACACTTATTAAACAATACAATCCAAGCTTATTCTGAAAATGTCCCGCGGACGTTTCTGGAGACAGCGGAATACGTCCCTGGAGGTACGTACGGCTGCATTTATTTTTCAAGCGAACGCTACGGGGCGGTGTGACGCTGTTACCTTTTGCGCTTGCCGGCCAGCCGGCCGACCGCTTACCTCCTTGTGGAGGGCTTCCCCGCTGCAACCCGTTTGTCCACTCAGCTCAGGGTGTACGTCGGCAGGCTCGAGATGCAGAGAGGAGTTGACCACGGCGATCGGTTTCGAGTCCGGGGAAGAGCGGTTCCAGCAATCAGGTAAGACTAAAACAGAATCCCAAAAATTAAGTGAACGAGTTTCGCAACAGGGTGAGAACGCGGTGAAATCCGAAAACGCGGTAGAAAAAAAACAAAAATAAGGTCTTTTCTTTTTTGGACGGCTTTTGTAAATTGTTGCTCGGGTTTAGGGATGCGAGCGGACGGGCGGGTCGATCGATAAAATTGGTTGGGTTCTGGGAAGGAGGAGGGCGGGTCGGCCGATTGGCCGGTCGCGCAGTCAATCATCCGGTCAGTCAGACAGCGGCCTCTGGTGGGTTCACGCAAGAACAGCGCGGGCGCGAACTGCACTCGCAAGAGGCGTCTGAGATGCGAAAAAGCACACAACAGCGGCCTCTCGCGGATTCGCAAAAACAAAAATTGCAGCCGTACGTACCTGCCGGGACGTATTCCGCGGTCTCCAGAAACGTCCGCGGGACTACGTTTCCACAATGAGCCTGGGTTGAAAAAATATGTATTTTTTTTTAGATTTAGCCCACTTCACACATTATTGTCTGGCTAGTTTCTGTCCTATACTTATGCTGAAAAGGCAATGATGGCCCAACATTACATATCATTATCACCAATAAAGCTCAGAGAAACAGGGCATCAGTATATTGTGTTCCTTTCCAGTTATCGAAAATAATTTTGTGACTCCATTATAGTTTTGTAAATATTAAATTGTTTAAAATACAAAATTAAACAAAATACATCAGTGCAAAACATATGACTGGTGGAAAAACATAGGCTGCAATTGTGTACATTTTGCCATGGCCTCTCTTGGTTTTAATAAACTTATTCTTCAGGTTTTTTCAAACTTTTTAACAAAAACGTTCTCCTTTCCCACAGCTGTTGCAATTTCTAGCCAATAATTATTAGATATCTGGTAATCTCTCTGATCACGGGTCATAAAGATGTGTGTTCTGTTGTACTGTTTCAGACAAAATCTCTTCAGAGTGTTTCATATTCAACTCAAATCAGTTGCGGCGCCGCGCACACTCTTCGCTCGAGTCTCAAAAAATGCCGTACGCACCGCCAGCCGAAATCATGCTGCGCACACCCAAAGCGAACCTCCGCAAACTCCGCGATGACGTCACATTCGCCACGCGCACTCAAGCGAACAAGCGGATGCGTCAAGTATAAACCAGGCTTTAGTGTCCCACCAGTTACTATATACAGCCGTATCTCACTGCTACTCGTATGATATTGCGTTTAAACAACAGTTTGACGGCATAATCGTGTACATAACAAACAAAATCAAACACAGAGAGTATTAAAAACCCTTTTGTATGAAGAACTACTTTCTTCTGCCATTCATTCAAGTCTGCAGCTGACGTCACAACAGCAGAAACTTGCTCATTCACCAGTGTTAATATGTGTTTTTTTTTCCAGAATGTTCTACGACGAGATGCTGGACAGCTCAGATCGCTTCTATAAGTCTCAGCCGCTGGGTCTCCAGTTGTGTTACGCTCTCTACAACCTGCTGGTGGCTCACTCAGAAATGGTGTGTTATCTGGTCATCATCCTCAACCACATGATCTCCGCCTCCATGGCCACGCTGGTGCTGCCCATCCTCATCTTCCTGTGGGCCATGCTGTCCGTTCCGCGACCCAGCAAGAGGTTCTGGATGACCGCCATCGTCTACACTGAGGTCAGAAATGCTCTTGGGGAAATCAGGGTGCGAATTAAAGGGTGGTTTGGGAGGGATTGACCCCCCTTTACCTAATGATTGATCCCCCCCTGAAGGATGTCAAAACAACATGTATGGGGTGGGGTGAATTTAAGCTACATTGCATCTACATGCCAACTAATTCTCATTAGATTATCAGTAGACTGTTAGGTTAGGGTTAGCTTTAATGCACTTTTTAAATAAATAAATAAAAAACAAAGCAGCTGCTTGCCATCACGACAGCAATAAGATCCGGAATCTGGGGCTGTTGCATGGCGCTGCTGTGGCAATGGGACGTTCTATTGAGTGTTGCTTCTAGGTCATTCTAAGCTCTTTGCCCGGATGTTGCCAGAAACTACAGTGAAACCCTTAAAAAAAGGCACTTGAGTAAGGGTGACAGACAGGGCTTTACATTAACACCCGCCAACCCGCCAAATGCGGGTAGATTTCAGCTCTGGCTTGTTAGACAGACACCTCCACTAACCACTTTGGCTGGTTGGAAATCTCCAGGGTTCGACAATAAGCATGGCCCAATATTCGGGCAAATGTGATCTTAGAATCAAGAAGCAGCAGTGAAGTGGAGAATAAATAGTTGAGTTTTTAGTCGTTTACATTTAAATTTAGCCATTTAGCAGACAATTTTATCCAAAGCGACTTACAAATGAGGACGAGGAAGCAACTTACACAACTATAAGAGCAACAATGAATAAGTGCTGTAGGCAAGTTTCAGGTCTGTAAAGTCTAAGGCCCCGTTTACACTAGTGCGTTTTAGTTTTAAAACGGCGTTTTAGAATGAAAACGATCCGCGTCCACACTCACGTTTTACCCAGCGTTTCTGAACAGCTCTCCGTCCACACCAAAACGCTGAAAACGCACATCACGTGACCACACACACACACTTTGGCAATCGCTGGAGCCCATCTACCCAGATGAGAGCTCTGCTAGTCGGACTTCTCATCAAGCATCTCCCGCTGGATCTAATCTCACTATATTTATTAATCGGGATATTTCATTCATCTTGTTGTCTTTATCTTACGACATATTCCCTGACTTTGGTCATTGGAATCTATTACTTGTTCTCAGGTAACGTGTTTTGGCTGAGCGCAAAGATAAGTTAATGATTAATGTAAGCACGTAGCCTACATTCTGTATATTGACTGATCGCTTGCCTTTATTTCCTATAATGTATAAACTTATTGTATGTTATACTTTTATAATGGCCATTATCGATTATTAAAACTGATATTCAGCAAAAGAGAGGGTATGTTTCGTATTTTCACTGAAATTGAAAGAAGGCAGTTGTTAAAGGCTCCGTTTTTTTATAAATATGCACACAGTGAAGATGACGCTCATGCAGCACGGCGCCTCAACATTTCTGCTGTCTGTTTAGTTGTTAATATTAAAATAAAAATAGGCAGTTCCTTAAATCAAGTTTACATTTTATTGTTGAGAAAGTGAAACAACGTAGCCAAGGTGATGTGAATGAAGTTATAAAGTACACGATTCCCTGTGAAGATTTACCCGTGTCCTCGGTATGTTTTCCATATCAAACTGAGAAGAAGAGATGCAGCCTTGATCAAACTTGCGATGTCTGAACTTACACGGAGAAGATTCAGGACTGAACTGTGTGTTACGCTACTTAATATTGAGGAAAAGCCCCAATCAGAGAGGCGAACGTTTGCAGCCCCGCCTCCGTTTTCAGATGTCTCCGTCTTTCCCCATCCACACTGAGACGGAGCAGCTGCGTTTCAGAATGAAAACGGCCTCTCCAGCGTTTTCGAAACGCTCCGTTTTCGGCGCTCGAGAACTCCGGCGTAGTGTGGACGGATGGCGTAACCGTAGCAAAACTTATGCGTTTTCAAACTAAAACGCACTAGTGTAAACGGGGCCTAAGAAGGAAAGCATTGGTAATTTTTTTATTTTTTTTTATTTTTTGGAGTACAGTTAGTGGTATATCCAGAGAGGCAATTGCAGATTAGGAAGAAAGTAAGTAAATACCGAAAAAGAAAGTAAATACCGAACGAGAGGATGATCACATCACATCACCTATGCGCGCGACTGTAAAAAAGCGCACACGCTCCCATTTACTTGCACAAACAACAATGCCTAAAGGAAGCGCAACTGGTTCCCTTTAAAATAGACTGGACAAAGAGCGATGATCGTTCATCCACAGACAGTCCAGCTGCTTTCCAGAGCTCAAGATAAAAAAAACATACATATTGTTTTGTAAGCAGTAGTGGTCACTGCTTTCATTTTACTTATTCTTTCAACAGATTATTAAAAGGCCTAGATTAACCGTGTGCACGTGAACATCCTTTCATTATCAAACACAGTATGTTTCATCTGCTTTAATTCGCTTACAGTTATTTTTGTTAAAATTGTTTAATTATATTTTATTTTACAATAACATCGCTTTAATGGGGATTACTGCTTGTTTATGTGTAGTTAACTGCTGATCTGGGACTTTTAGCCAGGACAGATTGCTGTGCATCTTTTAGATACATGACAATAATAATTTTTTAAATGTAATGTTTTTTAAAGAAAAGTTTTGTTGAATTGTTTTTGTGCACCTATAACGCTATATTTTCCTTGTTTTTACACATTAAAAATTGAGAAGAAATACTTATTTGGTGTTATCAGAGATAAATTTAGTAAATCCTTAATATTGAGCCCTAAAAAGTCAAGTTAAATGAAAACTGATTGCATTGCGACACAAACCATTCGCTCATGCACACTGAGCAAGCTAATACACAATACACACAAGAAGTTAAACCTATACCAAGTCATTTCAGCATGCCAAAGTCAAATTTATGCATATGAAATATATTTTCCCAACAAGAAAAGTGTGGCTAGTGAAAATGGCGAGTGGCTAGTATTGTTGGAAATCTACTAGCCACAGTGGCTGGTGATAAAAAAAAGTTAATGTCAAGCCCTGGTGACAGATAAGAAGTTTGCTGCAACAATCTTAATGAAATCCGTTACCTCAGAGATTTTTCCGCCTCAGGGACACCCTTAAGTTCAACTACTGAAGGACTTTCATACAAGTGGCCACAGGTGGCAATTGTAAATGATGTCACTTGCAGAGGAAGCGCGGTTGCCTGAGTGTGCAAGTCCAAGTGTGCAAGCCTGGAGGTGCAAGTGCAAATCTGCAGCCAGACTCTATTGAAAAATTGTATAAATACAAGGTCCCACTTTATATTAAGTGTCCTTAACTACTATGTACTTACATCAAAAAAATACAATGTACTTACTGTGTTTATAATGTATTTGAGAACACTTGTGGTGCTTTTGAGTTGGGATAGGGATTATGTTATGAACAGGTTTAGTGGTATGGGTAGGTTTAAGGGTGGGTTAAGGTGTAAGGGATGGTCAACAGTGTATTTACAAATGTAATTACAAAAGTTAATTACAGATGTAATTACATGTATTTAATCAAGCATAAATACAGAGTAAATACATGTATTTACACAATAAGTACAAACTATTAATTCCTGTGTAGGTACATATTAGTTAAGGCCACAATATAAAGTGGGACCGAATATAAACACATTGTAGTATCTCCATATAACGAGTCATACTATTGTGAATGCAAATCAGTCTATGCTAGAAAAAAGTCTGAAAGCGGCAGATCTAGCACACTGATGGACATGATAAGTGTTCACAAGACACTTTTCTTGTAAAATAGCTGTTTATTTCTACATATAACCTAAAAGTACAGTCAAATTAGACACATGGTTTGTATAGTTTGCTTTACAGTAACCTCTCAAATAGCTAATCAGAGGATACTGTAGGTCAGAAGAATACACTAAATATCGCACAAAATACTGAAAAATTTAGTGTACTTTATTAATAAAGTAGATGTCGTTTAAATAAATACATACATTTGATTCACTGAAACTTTAAACAACTTGTTAAACCCCACAATCGTCAATGTATAATTCGCACCCTGGGGGAAATCACGTTTAGATTGCATGCTTTAACACCCGGGTTTCTGTCTATGTATATTTCAGTTTAGTGTTTTCTCGTCACTTCCTGTCATCTTAGTTTTACTCTTATTATCTTGGTAATCTTTAGGTTTATTGTCTCCACCCCCTTGTCAGCTTGTTTGGTTAACTGTTGCCTTGTGTATTTATACCCTGTTCTGTTCACCCTTCACTGCCATCAGTTTTAAGTCACTCCAATAATGTCTGCATTTTTCATTCGTTGTTAAGTTTGTTAGGTTTGTTTAAATAAATATTTGTTGGCTGCATCTGGATCCTCACTTTTGTTTAGTATCTGCGCTACGCCAGATTGACTTGTCTTCTGGTTGATCATTTGGAAAAGTGGCAGCAGGTCGATTTCTCTGATGAATCATCTGTTGAACTGCATCCCAGTCATCACAAATACTGCAGAAATCCTACTGGAACCTGCATGGACCCAAGATTCTCACAGAAATGAGTCAAGTTTGATGAAGGAGACATCATGGTTTGGGGTTACATTCAGTATGGGGGCGTACGAGAGATCTGCAGAGTGGATGGCGACATCAACAGCCTGAGGTATCAAGACATTTGTGCTCCCCATTACATTACAAAGCACAGGAGAGGGTAAATTCTCCAGCAGGATAGCGCTCCTCATACTTCAGCCTCCACATTCAAGATCCTGCAAGCAAAGAAGGACAAGCTGCTCCAGGATTGGCCACCCCAGTCACCAGATATGAACACCATTGAGCATGTCTTGGTAAGATGGAGAAGGAGGCGTTGAAGATGAATCCAAAGAGTCTTGATTAACTCTGGGAGTCCTGCAGGAACGCTTTCTTTGCCATTCCAGATGACTTTATTAATAAGTGATTTGAGTCATGTCAGAGATGTATGGATGCAGTTCTCCAAGCTCATGATGGAGTCAGACACAATATTCATTCTGTCTCCACTGCAGCATGACTTTATATTCTATACTGGACATTATTTCTGTTCAGTCACAAGACTTTTGTCTAAGCAAAGTCAGACCTTACTGTCCTAATGAAGTCATTCAAAATCAAGACATGATCTTATTTTATTGTGGTAAAATAAGCGTAATCTAGAGGCCTTTGCCTTTCATATAAGCCACTTCTGATACCAAATGATCAACTAGAAGTCGAGTTATTATTTGTTGTTCATAAAACTTGGATAGGCAACAAGACTTTTGTCAGGTAGTGTATATAAAATTACCATTTATTAAAAAAATCCTGATTACTTTATCACTTTGATGGCAAAAGTACTTTCAATTTGCTTAATTACTTCCTTTTAATCTTGTTACTATTTCACATAACAAAATAGTTTAACTTTATGGTTTGCTTTAGTCAATACTATATCTTTGAGGGAAGCCTTGTACATTCAGTTAACAAAAGACTGAATCTGGTAGATTTCCAAAAAATTAATAAACGTGTTTTTGTTTCCTGCAGGTCACCATCGTCATCAAATACTTCTTCCAGTTCAGCTTTTTCCCTTTCAATCAGAACCTGGAGGTGAACAAGGGCAAGCCGTACCACCCGCCCAACATCCTGGGCACAGAGAAAAAAGACGGATACGTGCACTACGACCTGGTCCAGCTGCTGGCGCTCTTCTTCCACAGATCCATACTAAAGGTTCTTACTCGCTTACTGTGTTAACTTACTGTGTTAGAATCAAGCTTGTGGCAGTTAAGCAAGCAGAACTCATACTGTAAAGCTGAAGAGTTAATCGAATACTTTAAGTTGGGAGTGTTTTTTGCTTGTTTCAGCCCGGCACAAGTATCATTTTGATGTTTTTGCGACGTTGTTTTAATAGGAAGTGCATTTGCACTCATTTCTGTCCTTGTGGTTGTGCTTGTCTGAAAAGAAGATGTGTTTAGGTGCATTGTTATTTTTAGGCAACTGAAATAGACCACGCCATTCACCAACTAAAAGCTGCTCTGAAGTCAATGATGAAGGTTTTTCATTCATTCATTCATTTATTCTCCTTTTGGATTAGTTACTTATTTATCAGGCATTCATCACCACCAACTATTCCACCATAAGTTTTACTCAGTGGATGCCCTTTCGCACCAAGAGCAAAGAGCAACAATGTAACATTTTTAATCCCTGTTTCGGAACAACTGAATCGATTCACAGGTGTGAAAGCACCCTAAACGTCTCACACAGTTAAACTACACTGATTGCACTGAAGTGTGTGTGCTGTTTATAAAGTCCTTGTAATCAGTCAGTAGCAATCCTCCGGCTGCGTGTGTGTGCAATCAGTGTAATCCGGAACAAGTGCGTGTGAGCGGTGCATGACTGAACTTGTAGTCCATATACCGGTGGATTTGTAGTTCTATATCGATCTGTGTGTTTACCAGTGATCTACCAGGATTAGATTGCTGGTGATTGTAACAAATACCTTCTCTCTTGTGTGTGTGTGTGTGTGTGTGTGTGTGTGTGTGTGTGTGTGTGTGTGTGTGTGTGTGTGTGTGTGTGTGTGTGTGTGTGCGTGCGTGCGTGCGTGCGTGCGTGCGTGCGTGCGTGCGTGCGTGCGTGCGTGTGTGTGTGTATATATATATATATATATATATATATATATATATATAAACCTGACCTTTAAGTATATTTTGTCAGGGTTTTTATATAGTTTGTTTTATATTTGATCTTTGGGAATGGCAGAAATAAACCCCTCCTGCTTCTCTCCTTTTCTGCTATAGTTTTGAGATGTTTAGCAGCTCAGAGGATGTCGAGGTTTGACTGGAAACATAATTCAATCTTTCTGAAACCTATAGGAGAGCCTGCTGAGAGCTTTGAAAACCATCAAATGCATTTTTAAATCAATTCCTAATGTTTGAGGTTTCTGTCCTCTCCAGGTTTCAGATTATTTCATGAAATCAAACACAAGTAAAAAGCTCCAGAGTGACATTGTGCTTTTCACCTGGTACTTAGAAACATCATAATAAAACAAAACATCTGAGATCTGGAGTGGTGAGGATTATAGATTTTATAATTATATCTTTATAAATATTATTGTTCACTGACAACATTTTCCGATAGGAATATTTAGTTACTGGATTTACTTCTACAGTCAAACTAATACATTTAGTTAAAAATACTTAGTTAAATAAATTAAATATTTATCAAATAATAATAATAATATGCGTAATAGATTTAAAGATTATTACAATATAATGAAAAAAAGTCATTAAAAATGGATGATTTAAAAATATGATTCTCTATATTCAAATTGTTGTTTATTTTGCAGTTTTTTTATTGTTTTTAATAATATTAGCTTACTGCTGTGAAAAATGACATACTGAAGCTTTTTTTTATTTTTGTAATAATATATCATTTTAAATCAAAACAAAAAACCTTACATTTTTTTGCAAAAAAAATCATAATAAAATAAGTAATGTGTATATATTGAAATATTTTTTTATTTTATTTAATAGTATATATACTAGTATATTATTAACCCTTTAACTACCCCACCAAAAAAATGTTTGGATTGCATTTTTTAACTCCTATTGTCGCTAGTTAACTCACCCAATGCAAGTATCGCAATTAATACATATACTATGAAAAATCTAAAAATATTAGGTGTAAGAGCAATTTATTTAAAAAATATTCAAAATAAAACATTTTTGAATACTAAATCACCTTTATTTTTTTAAGTATGCCATAAAATATTTTCAGATTCTCATTTAACATGTTTTGTTTTTCTTGCTTTTTTCAAGTGCAACAAGATTACGTTTGTCTGATTTTTTTTTTTTTTTTTTTTTTTTTTTTTTTTTTTTTGTAAACCAACAATGCTGTGTGTGTAAACTGTTATTTAAAACATGTTATTCATTCTTTATATTTCTTCAACAGTCATTATTTAACACAGTCAAAACATGGTCAACCATTTGGTAGAGCCGGCAGTCAAAGAGTTAATGGTATAGAAATAAATGCTATAGTGAAATATATGAGCAATATCACACGAGTAGCAGTGCGATATGGCTGTATATCAGCACTGGTGGGAGACGTGCGTTGCGTTCCACTAGTGCTGATATACAGCCATATCGCACTGCTATGAGTATGATATTGCGTTTATACAACAGTTCGACGGCACAATCTTTTATCAAAGCAGAAGCCGTTACTAATTCCCCAACGTCACTTTACAGCTAGTGTTGAATGATTTTCTATAGAGTAATGTCTAAAGTGATGACAAAACAGCTGATTTTGCTCACATTTTAAGATTATTAGGCTGAACGTGAAATGAAATTCCATCAGTCTAGAGATATCTCCCTACAGTCTATTACAGTCCACAGTATTTTTCTGTTGCCATCGGTATTGTGACGGATACCAGGTGTCCCAGCATTTACCCAGAGACTTTAAAGAATAAAAAAAGGAGACAAACTATTTCACTCTTCCCATTGGCCCTTTATGCATTTCTCCCAAGTGCTGTCGACTACGTACCGGTACATGCCAGTCAACGACAATGAGTAGGCAAAAGGAAAAGAAAAAGACACTCAAACATTCGTCGCGAAATAAAATGTAACATTATTGAAATAAAAGACTGATACAGCAGTAGAGCGACCATCACACACTTCTCAGAGCTCGCTAGAACTGAACTGAGCTCCCATACATGCGTGCTTACATCTCAAAGGTAAAACAACCACAGAAGAAGTCCTCTTAAAGGGGACATTTATACACAATGCATATCAAACATTAAGCGACCGTTACAAAATCACAATAATTAACCTCGAAAAAAGCAGCGCAATCACTACCAGACTGCTGTTGTGTTTGTTATAAGGAGGGACGAGGCTGAATCCAGCTTCTTATTCGCAGCTTCTTATTGACTCTATCTGGTCCACACTAAAAACTGTGGCTGTGGGGCAGTATGACGCCATTCCTTTTCGTGTTTACCAGCGGACCGCTTACCTCCATATGGACAACTTTCCTGCTTTTTCCTGCTCGCCATGTACGCCAGCGAACTTGAGACACAGATGGAGTTTGACTCTTTGGGGTTTGAGACAACAATGGGGTTTGCGAAGAACGATTCCAGAAAGCTGGCAAGACAAAAACAAAAGCCAAAAAATAAAATAAACAAGTAATTAACAGGCTGAGAATGTGGTAACATCTGAAAATGTGGTAAAAAAAAATCTGACGAGGGCTTTTCTTTTTCTGGATTGCTTTTAAAAACTGTTGGTTGGGTTAAGGGAAGAGGGTGAGAAGGTTAAGCAGTGCTTTTTGAAACACTATTGGTTGGGTTTAGAAAAGGAGGAGGGTGGTTCAGTCGATTGGTCAGTCAGTCAGTCAACAGCGGCCTCTGGTGGATTTACGCAAGAAGAGCAGGCGCAAATGTCACTCACGAGAGAAATTTGAGATCTCAAAAAGTGTACACACCGTCCTCTGGTGGATTTGCGAAAACAAAAACTGCAAAGAAAAAGTACCTGCTGTGTTCTCCAGAAATGTATATAGCAGTACGTTTTAAGAATGAGCCTGGGTTGGAAAAAGTTTGGCCACCCCTGATTTAGAACATGTTATTATAAACGATTGGTGATCTGAAACTTCAGACACATTCAGGAAACACCTGACACTTATATTACGGCTTGTAAAAGGAGCATAATTGGATCATAATAAACACAAACGCAGTCAAGCATGTCCAAACCCTCTAATGATGGTATATTTATTTAACAAACCTAATCTAAAGATGGGATTTTAGATGGGGTTTCTGCTTTTATTACTTAATGTGATGCTACATCAGTTTTTATGGTATTTATGGTGCCTTTTATTTACTTTACAACTTGGATTAGGCAGGCAATTAACGAGTCTCAGGTAAAGAAAAAGTGTAAACTAATAAAAGCAGTTTCTCTCTCTCTCTCTCTCTCTCTCTCTCTCTCACTCTCCCCATTTTTTACTGTTTTGTATATTGTGAAAGGCTTAAAGGTGTTTTTTGTGGATGCTTAGATTTACGTTTGTTTAAAGGTTATATTTTCTTAAGTTGATTTAATTTTTGGATCTAATGTTTTCTAAAATGTGGCAGCATGGTGGCTCAGTGGTTAGCACTGTGGCCTTACAGCAAGACGATCGCTGATTCGAGCCCTAGCTGGGTCAGATGGCATTTCTGTGTGGATGTTTTCCCCGTGTTGGTGTGGGTTTCCTCCGAGTGCTACGGTTTCCCCCACAGTCCAAACATATGCGCTATAGGTGAATTGGATAAACTAAATTGGCCATAGTGTATGTGAATGTGAGAGTGTGTGGGTGTTTCCCAGTACTGGGTTGCGGCTGGAAGGACGTCCTCTGCATAAAACATATGCTGGCATAGTTGGTTATTCATCCTACAGTGGCACACCTGATAAATAAGAGACTAAGCCGAAGGAAAATGAATTAATGAATAAAAATTTGCTGAAAGAAAAATTAGAAAATGTGTGGAATTGCGAGAAAATGCGATGCTCTGTTAAAGACAGAGAATTCATTTTCGCTAAATGTGTTGAGTGAAATGTATGTCACGATCACCAGCAATCCAGGCTTGCAGACCTTCACCCGGACTACAATTCTGTCACTTTATGAACTACATTTCCCGCCATGCACCTCAAACACACACCTGTTCCGGAATCACCAATGATTACACACACACAGCTGGGAGCTGATCAAAGACTGATCACATAGACTATATACACTTATCACATTCACACAGTTTGCTGAGTCTTGTTAATCTGTAACACCACGAAGCATAATCCTGTCTAGTCTTTCTATGTTTGATTCTTGCCTTGTTTTCTCGTCATTGATTCTTTGCCGCTTTTCCAGAGATGGGTTGCGGCTGAAAGGGCATCCGCTGCGTAAAAACTTGCTGGATAAGTTGGCGGTTCATTCCGCTGTGGCGACCCCGGATTAATAAAGGGACTAAGCCGACAAGAAAATGAATGAATGAATGAATGATTCTTTGCCGCTTGTACTGACCACTTGCCTGTTACCTGACTTCGCCTTTTGGATTACCTGTATGTACCTGTTTGCTCCTGTGTTTGACCATTGCCTGCCTCACGAATATCATAAAAAACTGCATGTGGATCCTCACGTCCATTGTCCAGCGTCATCCGTTACAGTACATTTGTTAAACATTTTTTTAATGCACTTTCAGAAATAAAGGTACGCGAGCTGTCACTGGGGTGGTACCTTTTTAAAGGTACACGTTTGTACTTAAAGGGTACATATTGGTACCTCGAAAGTATATATTAGTACCTAAAACTTTTAATAGGAACACTTTTGTACTTTTTAGGTACTAATGTACCCTTGAGGTAAAAATTACTTACATTTATATAGCGCTTTTCTGGGTACTCAAAGCGCTTTACACATAGAGAGGAATCTCCTCATCCACTATCAGTGTGCCTTATCCACCTGGATGACGCGACGGTAGCCATTTTGGACCAGACCGCACACCACAGACCTGATTGGTGGAGAGGAGACAGTGATGAAGAGGAGAGTGATGAACCAATTATGATATGGGGATAGTTAGGAGGCCATGATAGACAGAGGCCAGTAGGCAGATTTGGCCAGGATGCCAGGGTTAAACCCCTACTCTTTTTATGAAGGACATCCTGGGATTTTTAATGACCACAGAGAGTCAGGACCTCGGTTTAACGTCTCATCCGGAAAACAGCACTAACTGAACAGTATAGAGTCCCCGTCACTATACTGGGGTATTAGGACCCACACAGACCCCATTGAGCGCTCCCTGCTGGCCTCACTAACACCACTTCCGGCAGCAACCTAGCTTTCCCATGTGGTCTCCCATCCAGGTACTGACCAGGCGCAGCCCTGCTTAGCTTCAGTGGGTGACCATGTGGGAGTTGCAGAGTTGCAGGTATTAATATGGACCTTTTAGTTACAAATTTGTATCTTTTGAAAAGGTACCACCCCAGTGACCCCAGTGTTATTTCTGTGAGTGTGGTATAAAATAAAAGTAGAATTCTAAAAATAAAAATCTAAAAACATCTTTCTGGCAATTCAGTTTAATTCAAAGAGCTTTATTGTTGTGGCTTGTCAAATACTGCCAAAACATTGCAGATTACATAAACAATGAATGAAGTAGTAATTACACACTGAATAAAAGTGATTATATCATGCATATATACATACACAAAACACACACACACAATTAGAAATTTGATACACAAACTCTAATATTATTAATAAAAAATGAAATAAAAGAAATATATATACAGTTGAAGTCAGAATTAGTAGCCCTCCTGTGATGTTTTCATATATTTCCCAAATGTTGTTTAACAGAGCAAGACATTTTTCACAGTATTTCATATAATATTTTTTCTTCTACAGAAAGTCTTATTTGTTTTTTTCAGCTAGAATAAACACTGTTTTAACCATTTTAAGGTCAAAATTATTTAAATAAATCTTCTCTCCATTTAACAGAAATTGGTAGAAAATATACAGGAGGGCTAACAAGTCTTACTTCAACTGTATAAATATTATTAATAATATGCATTCATTCATTTTCCTTCGGCTTAGTCCCTTTATTCATCAGGGGTTGCCACAGCAGAATGAACTGCCAACTTATCCAGCAAATGTTTTACAAAGCGGATAACCTTCCAGCTGCAACCCTGTACTGGGAAACATCCATCACTCTCATTCACACTCATACACTATGGCCAATTTAGTTTATTCAATTCCCTTATAGCGCATGTGTTTGGACTGTGGGAGAAACCGGAGCACTCGGAGGAAACCCACACCAACACTGGGAGAACATGCAAACTCCACATAGAAATCCCAACTGACCCAGCCAGGTCTCGAACCAGCGACCTTCTTGCTGTGAGGTGACAGTGTTAACCACTGACCCACCGTGCCGCCCTATTAATAATAATAATAATAATGATAATAAAACAAAATGCAGTAGACAACTGTTCGTTCATGCATGTATTTGTAAGAATGTTTCTGACTAGTCTCTCTCTCTCTCTGTGTGTCTCTTGATCTCAGTGTCATGGTCTCTGGGACGAGGACGACCCCAAAGTGCCCCGTAAGGATGAGTGTCCTCGTCAGGAGTCTGTGGATGACGGGAAGCTGTCGGTGGTCATGTCACCTGATGAAGACAGGAAGAGTTCTCCGGCGTATTCACTCAAGTCTATGAATCTGGGAATGTCTGTGGACTCATCGCAGGTTCACGTACAGATGCGTTATCCAGAGCAGCGGCCGTACCTGCGCAGACAGAGCACCAGCGGATCACACTTCTCCCACAGATCCTCCGCACGCTCCAAACGCGGTGAGAACCTCTGAAATCCCAAAACATTTTAGCTGAGTTTAGTTTAGTTGAGTCAAAGACTATAGAATACACAAGACATGTCTCTCATATACTTTTGAATGGGGAAATGTGTAACTGTAAATATGGCAAATGAAGCCCCGCCTTCTAGTACAGGAGCCAGTACAGCGATTGCTATAGAATGACAATTCTCCGGGGGAGGAGCTTGAACCAGATGCGAGTTTCTGAGGGGAGTGGAGTGGTGTGGAGTGGAGTGTAGTGTAGTGTAGTGGAGGGGGGGGAGTGGAGTGGAGTGGAGTGTAGTGGAGTGTAGTGGAGGGGAGGGGAGGGGAGGGGAGGGGAGTGGAGTGGAGTGGAGTGGAGGGGAGGGGAGGGGAGGGGAGGGGAGTGGAGTGGAGTGGAGTGGAGTGGAGTGGAGTGGAGTAGAGTGGTGTGTAGTGGAGGGGAGGGGAGTGGAGTGGAGTGGAGTGTAGTGGAGGGGAGTGGAGTGGAGGGGAGTGGAGGGGAGGGGAGTGGAGTGGAGTGTAGTGGAGGGGAGTGGAGTGGAGTGGAGTGGAGTTGAGTTGAGTTGAGTTGAGTTGAGTTGAGTTGAGTTGAGTTGTGATGAGCTGAGTTGAGTTGAGTTGAGTGTGATGTGGTGTGGTGTGATGTGGAGTGGAGGGGAGGGGAGTGGAGTTGAGTTGAGTTGTGATGAGTTTAATTTAGTTTAGGTTGAGATGAGTTGAGTTGAGTTGGGTTGAGTTTAGTTTGGTTGAGTTTAGTTGCATTGTGTTTAGTTAAGTTTAGTTTAGGTTGAGTTGAGTTGAGTTGTGTTGAGTTGAGATGGGTTGAGTTGAGTTGAGTTGAGTTGAGTTGAGTTTAGTTTAGTTTAGGTTGAGTTGAGTTGAGTTGAGTTGAGTTTAGTGTAGTTTAGTTTAGTTTAGTTTAGTTTAGTTTAGTTTAGTTTAGTTTAGTTTAGTTTAGTTTAGTTTAGGTTGAGTTGAGTTGAGTTGAGTTTAGTTTAGTTTAGTTTAGGTTGAGTTGAGTTGAGTTGAGTTGAGTTGAGTTGAGTTGAGCTGAGCTGAGCTGTGTTGAGTTTAGTTTAGTTTAGTTTAGTTTAGTTTAGTTTAGTTTAGTTTAGTTTAGTTTAGTTTGGGTTGGGTTGAGTTGAGTTGAGTTGAGTTGAGTTTAGTTGAGTTGAGTTGAGTTGAGTTGAGTTGAATTGAGTTGTGTTGAATTGAGTTTAGTTTAGGTTACGTTGAGTTGTGTTAAGTTTAGTTTAGTTTACCTTAGTTTAGTTTAGTTTAGGTTGAGCTGAGTTGTGTTGTGTTAAGTTTAGTTGTTGATTTGATTTGTGTTGTGTTGAGTTGTGTTTAGTTGTGTTTAGTTGAGTTTAGTTGAGTTTAGTTGAGTTGTGTTTAGTTTGAGTTGAGTTGTGTTTAGTTTGAGTTGAGTTGTGTTTAGTTTGAGTTGAGTTGTGTTTAGTTGAGTCGTGTTGAGTTGAGTTGTATTTAGTTGTGTTGTGTTGTGTCTTTCTCATTCTGATATGGTATGGTGTTTAACATACAGTGTTTTTCACATTTTATTTTCAACACATTTCTAAACACAATAGTTATATTAGTTTGTTTCTAATAACTGATTTATTTAATCTTTGCCATGATGACAGTTAATAATATTTGACTAGATATTTTATTTAATGACTAGTATTCAGCTTAAAGTGACATTTAGAGGCTTTACTAGGTCAATTAGGCAAGTTAGGGTAATTATCCCAATGACTCCAGTATGATTTGTTTACAGCTGCTGATGTTTGGTTGGTGTTTTCTTTTCACAGGCAGCACAAGCACACGTCACAGCACCCATGGGGAAAACAGCACAACAGAGTCAGAAGTACCACAAAAGAGCCGGAAAGAAATGATTATGGAGAAAATCAGAGAGCAGCTCATCAAAGCAAAGGTTTACCTGCTCAAAAGGTAAGAGTGTGTGTCTGGGGGTTAAAAATTAAGTGGACCTGATTTACCACTTTGGTTCCTTATAGTAAAATTCATTCATTCATTTTCCTTCGGCTTAGTCCCTTATTTGTCCGGTGTCAACAGAGTGGAATGAACCGACAACTATTCCAGTCACCTCACATCAAGAAGCTTGCTGGTTTGAGTCCAGTTGGCGTTTCTGTGTGGAGTTTGCATGTTCTGCCCGTGTTGGTGTGGGTTTCCTCCGGGTGCTCCAATTTCCCCCACAGTCTAAACACATCCGCTATAGGGGAATTGGATGAACTAAATTGGCCGTAGTGTATGGATGTGAAAGTGTATGAGTGTTTCTCAGTACTGGGATGTATCCATTGCGTAAAACATATGCTGCAACAGTTGGCAGTTCATTCCGCTGTGGTGACCCCTGATAAATAAGAGACAAAGCCCAAGGAAAATAAATGAATAAATGTTAAACTGGAACTGCTACAGTTCAGATTATTAAAATAGTTGAAGTCAAGTTCAGTTTAGCTCAGATGAATGGATAAAATCATGTCCTGGTTAACTCTCAGGTACTTTTTAATTTTTAATCTCTTTCCTCTGTGTTT